TGGCCATCCCATAGGTGGAGGCTTGAATCATATATAATCAAAAACATGGAGCTCAGCAACCCCTGGTGCTAGTCCCCAGACTGCTCCTGGCCAGGTGGGTTTTTGCGAGTGCTCCCCAAAAGGCTCCGCGCGCCGTGCGAGCGACTTCTGGCGAGGTCACGCACCAGCTCCAGCTTGGAGGCCAGTCCTCGGCCAGTTTCTTTTTTTGGGCACATAAAATTTGGAATTTGTGGAAAGAACAGCAACGATGAGTGCGACCAAAAACAAGGAGTTGACAGGAGTTGTGTTGATTTGTTCTGTTCTGATTTCAGGGTGCGTCACCAGGATAATATTCACCAGCTCTAGCTTTGGGGGAAGCATGTCATGTGAGTCATCTCCAACTGAGCAACCTTCAGCCATCTGAGATCCGCTGATGTCAGGGACCGTTCTTGTCAAACCAAAACCAGAAACATCCTGAAATTGATGTTAGGCCAGGTCTGGGCATATCTAGTCAAGTCAAGGTCGCTGGGTGCATTGCCTGTTCGAAAATGGAGTCTCCACAAGTCGCGCTATCGCATGTTCCTGCAAACATGGCGATTGAGCGTCATGACTTTGCCAATGACCACTTTCCCCTTACACACAGAGGGTCCCCTCCTTCTCTTTCCGTGCATGCTGGACATTGTTATTGAACGGTGTATTTATGTCATGTCTTTCCTAGTCTTCATGCATCCATCTGGCGTTTCACTTGATGCATCTCACCATTACATCTTCCGTGGCTTCGCGGTGCCCATCATCGTTTCTTAAGACCCCCTAATCATTGAACCCAAATCACCCTCTGTGTCCATCCGATCGCACGCCTTAACAAACCGAACAAGATCTCTTGCGCGCATCGCATCTCTTCTGCCGAGCATCGCATCTCTTGCGCGCGCGAGGTCGCGTCGATTCCCCCGAGGTCTTTCTTGGACTGCGAGCTCTGCAGGCCCTGTGGCCCCTGTGGGCTGCGGACACCTCGAGGCCCACGCGCCGATAAGGGGATGCGGTTCTCTTTCTCGATGCCACGTGCGCTCGGAGTCGGTGTGCTGGGGTACGGTGAGAAGGGCAGATCCATCATCTTCTCCTCCTGAGTGCCGAAACGAAGCGGTTCTTTTCCACCGTCGGACGCGCAGTTTCAAGGAATGAAACGCAGCCATCCCTTACCTAAGGGCACCTGACGTGGGGGAGGGGATTGATATGGGAGACATCATCAAAATGAGTTCAGATTCGAAGAGTCGTTTGCTTCACTTCTGTCTTACGACGTGTGACTGTGAGTACACTCTTGTCCTCAAAGCAAACGATCATCTGTTATCACAAGCAAACAACAAACCACATTCCAATCACCTAGGATGGCATGCCACAAGTTTGAGGAATTCTTCGGCCCTCTCGCGCCGTATGCGCTCCATATATGCACCCAACCTCCCCCCCCATCTTCTCCCATCTCCCGAGCACCAGCTCGCCCTTCTCGCTCGCTTCGGCTCGCGCTCGTCTCGTCCAAGGCTCCAAGTGGCCCAGGTCCGACCACCTGGATGCTGAGACATCCAACGTGACGCCTTTCCCTCGGCGGAGTGGAGGCGGGAGAGGGGGAACTGGGGCATCGGATTTTTTGCCGGGGGAGGTGGGGTGGGTCATCAACGTTGTCAGGTAGGACGCCTGCGGCGTCATACGGCTCTGAACTCGTTTCCTTTTTCCAGGCAGGACTATATGCTGCTGGGCTGGTTTGTGACGCTTTGGGCGGGCCTCAAACAGTGATTTGTGAGGTGGACCCAGCCCTGTCACATCCCAGCAGTGAAAACACGCAAATCGAGAGACAAATCAATGTTGTTAATCCCTTCGGCTTCAGAATGGTTAGGCACCTCCGGGCCTTTCAAACATCCTAATTGCTTGGAATGGAACCATTAATTGCAGTCTGCAACTTGATTCTCTGAACACCAATCCCTGCCCTATCTTTTCACGCCTTTCCGCGCATCCACGCGCCGGGTGGAACTGCAGGACTATTGTAATAGGGAGACACCGAACCAATGGGTCGGTTGTCCCTATTTGAGCTACATGCCAAGGTCATGAAAAAGAGACAATGGCCTCCACCCTAGTAGCGCTGGCCTCCACCCTAGTAGCGCTGGCC